TGTTGTTTCTCTCAGCTGTTGGCGACCGGAATTTTTCTCAGCTGTTTCTCTCAGCCGGAATTTCTCTCAGCTGTTTCTCTCAGCCGGAATTTCTAGATCTCCCCGCAACAGAACATTTTCCCCTACGTAGTTCACTCTCGCACAATACCTGTAGGAGTGTCTGTCATTCCCCAAGCTGGAGACCAGACGCTTTGGGCTAATTTCGGCCAGATTTGCAGGGGAATTGGGCTGAGGTATGGGTCGGCCATAGGCTGGTCGTGGTAGGTAGGCCATTTTCATGGGGTAAAGTGTGTAATATGGAGTGTGAGGAGGAGGAGGTGGTGGTGTGGATAGAAATGCGGGAAAGAGGGAGAGAGAGATGCAGATGACACTAGGATTTTCATGAGAGTTGGCAACATAGAGGACACGGCAAACCTCCAATCAGATGTAGATCAGGTCTTTCTATGGGCTACAGAAAATAATATGGTATTCAACGAGGATAAGTTTCAGCTCATGCGCTACGGAAAAATTGAAAACATAAAAACAGGAACCACGTACAAAACGCAGGCAAATCATAACATAGAACGAAAAGGCAATGTAAAGGACCTGGGTGTACTCATGTCGGAAGACCTTACCTTTAAAGAACACAATAAAGTAGCCGTCACAACTGCAAGAAAAATGACAGGTTGGATAACAAGAACTTTTCACACTAGAGATGCTATACCGATGATGATACTTTTCAAAACGCTTGTGCTATCTAGAGTGGAGTATTGCTGCACAATCACAGCCCCTTTCAAAGCTGGAGAAATTGCTGACCTGGAGAGCGTGCAGAGATCCTTTACTGCTAGAATCCACTCAGTAAAACATCTAAATTACTGGGACCGACTAAAGAGCCTAAATCTGTACTCCCTTGAGCGCAGGGGGAGAGATACATAATAATATACACGTGGAAAATAATTGAGGGGCTGGTCCCAAACCTGCACACAGAAATAACATCACATGAGACCAGAAGACATGGCAGTTTGTGCAGAATACCCCTGTTGAAAAGCAGAGGTGCAACAGGTACTCTGAGAGAGAACTCTATCAACATCAGAGGCCCGAGACTGTTCAACACGCTTCCACTACACATAAGGGGCATAACTGGCCGACCCCTCACAGTGTTCAAGAGAGAACTGGATAAGCACCTCCAAAGGATACCTGATCAACCAGGCTGTGACTCATACGTCAGGCTGCGAGCAGCCGCGTCTAACAGCCTGGTTGATCAGTCCAGCAACCAGGAGGCCTGGTCGACGACCGGGCCGCGGGGACACTAAGCCCCGGAAGCACCTCAAGGTAGCCTCAAGGTAGGAGATACCCAGCACATCCAAGTACCTCCACAGCATATGCATGTTATATATATATATTTATATATAAATATAAACCTATATATATATATATACTATATATATATTATTTATATATATATATATATATATATATATATATATATATATATATATATATAATATATTATATTATTTATATTTATATATATATATTATTTATATATAAATATAAACCCCCTGTTTATTTATATATAAATAAACAGGGGGAGGGCCTCGCGGCTGAGTGAACAGCGCTTGGGAGTCGTAGTCCTAATGGAGCGGGTTGTATTCCCGGCGGAAGCGGAAACAAATAGGCAGAGTTTCTTTCACCCCTGATGCACCTGTTCACCTAGCAGTAAATAGATACCTGGGAGTTAGACAGCTGCTACGGGCAGTTTCTTATATAAATCTTTCTAAAAGCATATAAGTTTCCTTATATGCTTTTTCAGACAGGGATTCCATGATGAAGCGGCATACTCTAAGACAGGCCTTACGTAGGCAGTGTAAAGTGCCCTAAATGCCTCCTTACTTAGGTTTCTGAATGATGATCTAACTTTTGCCAGTGTAGAGTACGCTGCTGTCGTTATCCTATTTATATGTGCTTCAGGAGATAGATTAGGTGTTACGTCCACGCCCAGGTCTCTTTCTCGCGTCGACACACGTAGGCAGTTCCCCTTCAGTGTGTGTTTGTTGTGTGTGTGTGTGTGTGTGTGTGTGTGTGTGTGTGTGTGTGTGTGTGTGTGTGTGTGTGTGTGTGCGCGCGCTCGCTCGCACACACTTTAGGAAATAATATATAATGGTTTCATAATTGATTTTGAATTAAAAACAAACAAAAAAGTTTCTTTATAGTTGTTAATACCTTTGAGCTCGTGGAAAGATAGACAGAAAAGGAGGATGTAGTGGTCGTTTATCCTCTTGATCACCACACTGAGACGCCGGAAAATAAGTCTTAAGGTCTCCTATCGTCTCTCATCTGGTAGTGAGAACGTTGCAGCAGTCATCTGACTCTCTGTATTTGTTGAAGGTAGCTGTTTCCGTATGTGGGTGTCTATGTAAGTGTCGGGTAAGATTCCCATGGCAGTTGCTTGATGTTCCTCCTGCGGTGTTATATAATCCTATCTGGATGGCAGGATTCTGCGAAATTAGAAAAAAATGAGTATCTCTCTCTGCTGGACACTAAAGCAGTGGGGTGTGAGACTCCTTTTGTTAATGTCATTGAATTTGATGTTCCTTGTGTCTTTCATTTTGTGCAGTGCAGTCTTGGCAGGTTATATATATATATATATATATATATATATATATATATATATATATATATATATATATATATATATTATTAAATATGACCGAAAAAGTAAGATTAATAATTCTAACACGAATTTTCTCAATCTTTCGTACATTACGCTTCACTGTTGGAGGTAAATCAAAAATCACTTCTCCAAAATTCATTTTTATGAATTTTGGAGAATTTTTTATGAACTTCTACATGGGTACCATCGAGCAAAAAGTCTTAGTCGACATGAACTTGAAACCGGCCATATACTGCAGGTATGTTGACGACATTTTTACACAGGTACCTGATGTCAGACATCTGCAGAAGCTGAAGGAGGCATTTGAGCAGAGTTCCGTGCTGCGTTTCACTTACGAGACGGAAAAGGATGGGAAGCTGCCTTTTCTAGATGTAACAGTCATGGAAAAGGGCGGAGGTTTCCACACTGCAGTCTACACTAAGGAAACAAACATATTAATGTGCCTAAATGCCAACAGCGACTGCCCTGACAGGTACAAGAGGAGTGTTGTTAACGCATACGTCGACCGTGCTCTCAGCCACAGCTCAGAATGGAAGCAAGTCGACGAAGAACTCTGTAGGGTAAGGCAGGTCCTAGTCAATAACGGCTTCTCCAATGGTTTCATCGAAGACATCATAAGAAGGAAAGTGAAAAGCCATGCAACCTCTGAAGAGACAACTAACACAACACCTATACCCTCTATTAGACTATTTTACAGGAACTTCTTTTCCACAGCTCATAAAATGGAGGAAAGGGTCCTGAAAGATATTGTTAATAGAAACGTTATCCCTACAGACAAAAATCAGAGGATACAACTGACGATTTACTATAAAACCAGAAAAACGGCCAGCCTACTCATGAGAAACTCTCCAGACACAAAACAGAACGCTTTAAAAGAGACTAATGTCGTCTATGCCTTCAAATGCCCACTTGGGGACTGTAAGCTCCAAAAAACCCAGTATATAGGCAAGACAACAACATCTCTTTCTAGGCGTTTAACGATGCATAAGCAACAGGGCTCCATTAAGGAACATATAATCTTTCCCATAACCAAACCATCGCCAGAGAAATCCTAGTAAACAACACAGAAATCATCGATAGATACAGCGATAGCAGGCGGCTTGACGTTTGCGAGGCACTACACATCAAGAAGTCAACACCAGCAATCAACAGCCAATTATTGCACAACTATATTCTACCCACCTCAAGACTCCGCTCCAATATAGAAGCATCAAGAAATATGGACCAATAGGCTTTCTACAAACACTTCTATTCAATACCCATTGTTTCTGTTCTGTCTTGTGTTGATACTTTTAATACCCTATTAATATCCCTCCTGTTCGGTCTTGTGTTAATGCCACATCACCCTTCCCACCTCACTCAAATGTAGATATAAAATCAGAGATACGTTCTAATCAGTTGTGTATTTGTGAAGTCTTTGAAAATGTAATAAGTTTTACGAAACGCGCCCGTGTCGCGTCAGACTAGAAATAAAAATGAATTTTGGAGAAGTGATTTTGATTTACCTCCAACAGTGAAGCGTAATGTACGAAAGACTGAGAAAATTCGTGTTAGAATTATTAATCTTACTTTTTCGGTCATATTTAATAATATATGTCTACAGGAAAGACTGCTACCAAATTATACTAATATATATATATATATATATATATATATATATATATTATATATATATATTATTAAATATGACCGAAAAAGTAAGATTATTAATTCTAACACGAATTTTCTCAATCTTTCGTACATTTCTTTTCACTGTTGGAGGTAAATCAAAAATCAATTCTCCAAAATTCATTTTTATTTCTAGTCTGACGCGACACGAGCGCGTTTCGTAAAACTTATTACATTTTCAAAGACTTTAGTTTACAAATACACAACTGAATAGAACTTACGCATCTCCGATTTTATATCTATATTTTAGTGAGGTGGATGGGGTGAGGTGGCATTAATAGGGTATTAATTTCATCAACATTTGTTGATGAAATTAATACCCTATTAATGCCACCTCACCCCATCCACCTCACTAATTAATCTTAGTTTTTCGTTCATATTTAATAATAGATGTCTATACAGGAAAGACTGCTACCAAAATATACTAATATATATATATATATATATATAATATATATATATATATATATATATATATATATATATATAATATATATATTATTATATATATAATATATACTGTTCTACCTCTGCCAATACACTTACGGTACTGTGTGGATTGGGGCAGCAAGTCAAGGCTCTTAATACGATATAATATTGTTTAGTCAACAGGAGCCAGTCCTACGTAGTTACGACTCGTCTTTGACGAAGACTAATCCAGTGTTGGTGACCTGTGCAGGTTACGACGGGCCGCTGCAGTACGCCATGACGGACGGCGCGAGTCCGGACGCTGCCATGACCACGGTGCAGGTCCTGCCGGTGGTGGGCCAGACCTCAGACTTTACCGACGACGAGGACGACAACCCCACAGGTGAGTACCCGGGGGTAGTCGACAACCCCACAGGTGAGTACCTGAGGAGAGGGGTGGGGGTAATGGTGCAAGAGGAAAGGGCATGGGGGTTAGGGGGCAAGAGGATGAGGAAAGGTGCATTACTCGAGGGAGAGAAAGACGGCTACAAACGGGTCCATGGAAGAGGCTTAGCAGAAGGAAAGGGAAAAGTTGTACATGAAAGTGCGGATCAGGACTCTTCCCCCCCCCCCACCCTCCTTCTACCAGGGCCACCCCCCTGGTTGTCTCGCCCTCTACCAAGGGCAACACCCCACGGTACATCTCCTCCAGGTTTAACGGGAAAGGCGAAAAATCCAATCTTCCGTAAAAAGGGGGCTTTAAGAGTGGAACGATCTGGGCCAGGAGGGACGGAGAGGGTGCGGAATTTCTTTGAGCGGGAAGAGAAAGCCAACTACTACGCCCAGAGGAAGGTGAAGCGCACGAGGAGGGACGGGAAGAATCGAACACTGAAGGGCAATGGAAGAAGCGCCATGGGGGAGCTGGGAGTGAAGGGTTCTGAGGCGAGATTCCGGTTGTAGGTGAAGGAGTGAGAGGGTAGGGGGCAGCACTGTGTGGAGTCAGTATTGTTGTGAGTAGGTCAGGTGGCGACATCCTATGTCCAGCTGGTACTCCAACTCCCGCCACCTGAGCCAGACAATCACCACTCATTAAATTGTATATTTATGCTTGTTAACGTTCAAAGTATTGTAACCTGAAACTAACATGTAATAAACTTGAGGCTAACGCATATAAATATTTAACAGCCCAGCCACACCAATAAACCCTGTGCGGTCAAACTTCGTCACCCCAATAGGGACTAGATCCGAGCCACCAATCAGTTGATGAGTCTACCTAGATCTCTCCCAGCCAGTAAAAGGAGTACGCAGGTTTAAACTTGAACTAGTTGAGACACGGAGACTACTGGTAGAGCGCGCTGTCTGTATCATGAGCTTCAACTCCTATCATCTCTTTACCATCTCTTTTTACTCTACCACCCTTCTACAAGGAAGAGCATCACCAACATTTTGTCCAGTTTATAATTGACTGCAAAGACAGCTCCAAAGGAAGTTAGAAGAGGGAAGGCTTGAGGGGCAGATCAACTCCTAGATCCCAATCCAGGTATACTCCAGGATGCGCTGGCTAACGATTAGAATCCTCCCCTTTGGTAAACGTTACAAAGATAAGTTCGTGTTTCTTTATATCGTTGATACGACCGATTTTTGTGGCCTCCTCAGCCATTTACTATGAATAGAAACGTGCAAGTGACACACAAATGCAATGTGACGGAGGGGAGGGGGGAAGGAGGCTTGGGCAGGAATGGGGTGTGACGCAGGAGGTGGGGGGGAGTTGAGGGGCAGAAGTGCGGGGAGCTGCACACACACACACGCACACACACGCACACACACACACACACACACACACACACACACACACACACACACACACACACACACACACACACACAGCTATACGGCTGCAAGCGCCACCATTACCCTGTCACCATCCCTACCCCGGTAATGGTCGCCTGATGAACACACACAATGCTCTTCTCCCCCCCCTCCCCCACTTAAACCGGGCAGGAGGCTCCCTCCTACCCGCTCCTGGCGTCAGAGGAGAGTAGGTAGGTAGAGGGGAGGGACATGCCCCCCTTCCCTCTTCTACCACTTTACCACACACGACAAAGCAGGAGGCACTTGCCTTACTGCGGCTCGTCGACTCCTCTCTCTGCCAGATGACAATACCCACGATGACATATCACTGCGACCTCTGGCGGCAGCTGTAGGGGTCTTGTGTCGCTGCGTCCCCCCCCCCCCTCCACACACACTCACACAACACGTCACCATACTCACCACACCACAGGTTGTCTCCCTCAATACACCTCCCAACCACAAACTGCCGTTCCACACCATCGTTCTCCAACATGGTGCTATACTCTCCAGCACGCACCACCACCACCACCACCCTCGAGCATGCACCTCCACTCTCCACCACCCAGCACTCGTGCCCCCTCACGTGCCCGTAAGGGTGTTGAGAGCGCCCACACCATGATTGAACAGCTCCTCACCTCCCTGTGGCCATGATAGTGTATATAGAAGGAGCTGTAGTTCTGTTGACATAATCAACTGACTCCATCACTCGTTCTGTTTCATGTCACCAGTGTGTGTGTGTGTTTACCCTCTCCCAAAACTCTCCATCCTTACCTTCAAACACATTTGGAGTGGTGCAGCTCTCTGGGTGGAGGGGTAAGGCAGTTATGAGGAGAAACCGCTAAGCCCTCCCTGAGGGTGGGTGGACTGGGGTGATGGGTGGAGAAGGCGCACCTTTTGCCCACGGGTTCAAGAGCCACCGTTCTTCCCCACCTATATGTCTATATGTCCAGCTGGCGTGTCCCAGCTGGACATGTAGAGAGCAACCAACAATATCGGCACCTCGGCCTCCACGTTAGGGGAGGCCGAGGTGCCTTCTAGGTGCCCCGAGGTGCTAGTAACCTTCACCAACAGCTGACTGTAGTGGCCGTACATTGTCTGGGGTTTTGGTAGCGGCTCCGTGACTGTCAGTGGTGAAGCGTTCGTCTCTGCTAATCTCGTCCTTCTGATCAAAAGCCCAGTTAACAAATTTTAGGGAGGTAATTTTTTTTTAATTTCCTTCACAAGTGAAGATTCGTGTTAGAACCACTGATTTAACCCTTTCTCTCGTATTCAGTAACAAATGTCTACAAAATGTCTACGTCCAAATACATTATATATATATATATATATATATATATATATATATATATATATATATATATATATATATATATACACACACACACACACACACACACACACACACACACACACACACACACACACACACACTGGAAGACAGAAGAGTTATGGGGGACATGATCACCACGTACAAGATTTTCAGAGGTATTGACAGGGTAGATAAAAACAGGCTATTTAACACAAGGGGCACATGCACTAGGAGACACAGGTGGAAATTGAGTGCCCAAAGGAGCCAAAGAGATATTATAAAGATTTTTTTTTAGTGTCAGAGTGGTTGACAAATGGAATGCATTAGGCAGTGTTGTGGTGGAGGCTGACTCCATACACAGTTTCACGTGTAGATATGATAGAGCCCAGTAGGCTCAGGAACCTGTACACCAGTTGATTGACATTTGAGAGGTGGGACCAAAGAGCCAGAGCTCAACCCCAGCAAGCACAAAAAGGTGAGTACACACACACACACACACACACACACACACACACACACCCCCCCACACACACACACACACACACACACACACACACACAGTGTATTTTTCCGTAAATTATAAATCTTCAAATATGTGACTAAAGTAAATAGAATCAATATTGGAGACCAGCTTCATGAAGCACACCACCCCCCACCTACTTAGAGACCAGCTTCATGAAGCACACCACCACCACCACCTACCTAGAGACCAGCTTCATGAAGCACACCACCCCCCACCTACCTAGAGACCAGCTTCATGAAGCACACCACCACCACCACCTACCTAGAGACCAGCTTCATGAAGCACACCACCACCACCACCTACCTAGAGACCAGCTTCATGAAGCACACCACCACCACCTACCTAGAGACCAGCTTCATGAAGCACACCACCACCACCCACCTAGAGACCAGCTTCATGAAGCACACCACCCACCTAGAGACCAGCTTCATGAAGCACACTACCACCATCCACCTAGAGACCAGCTTCATGAAGCACACCATCCACCTAGAGACCAGCTTCATGAAGCACACCACCACCACCCACCTAGAGACCAGCTTCATGAAGCACACCACCCACCTAGAGACCAGCTTCATGAAGCACACCACCCACCTAGAGACCAGCTTCATGAAGCACACCACCACCACCCACCTAGAGACCAGCTTCATGAAGCACACCACCCACCTAGAGACCAGCTTCATGAAGCACACTACCACCATCCACCTAGAGACCAGCTTCATGAAGCACACCATCCACCTAGAGACCAGCTTCATGAAGCACACCACCACCATCCACCTAGAGACCAGCTTCATGAAGCACACCATCCACCTAGAGACCAGCTGCATGAAGCACACCACCCACCTAGAGACCAGCTTCATGAAGCACACCACCTACCTAGAGACCAGCTTCATAAAGCACACCACCACCCACCTAGAGACCAGCTTCATGAAGCACACCATCCACCTAGAGACCAGCTTCATGAAGCACACCACCACCATCCACCTAGAGACCAGCTGCATGAAGCACACCACCCACCTAGAGACCAGCTGCATGAAGCACACCACCACCATCCACCTAGAGACCAGCTTCATGAAGCACACCACCATCCACCTAGAGACCAGCTGCATGAAGCACACCACCTACCTAGAGACCAGCTTCATGAAGCACACCACCTACCTAGAGACCAGCTTCATGAAGCACACCACCACCCACCTAGAGACCAGCTTCATGAAGCACACCACCTACCTAGAGACCAGCTGCATGAAGCACACCACCACCCACCTAGAGACCAGCTTCATGAAGCACACCACCACCCACCTAGAGACCAGCTTCATGAAGCACACCACCCACCTAGAGACCAGCTGCATGAAGCACACCACCACCTACCTAGAGACCAGCTTCATGAAGCACACCACCTACCTAGAGACCAGCTGCATGAAGCACACCACCTACCTAGAGACCAGCTTCATGAAGCACACCACCCACCTAGAGACCAGCTGCATGAAGCACACCACCACCTACCTAGAGCCCAGCTGCATGAAGCACACCACCTACCTAGAGACCAGCTTCATGAAGCACACCACCTACCTAGAGACCAGCTTCATGAAGCACACCACCTACCTAGAGACCAGCTTCATGAAGCACACCACCACTCCTCCCGCTTTTTAAAAGCATTTTCCTTCTCGCCCGCCAGAATACCTCGCAGATCTCCGTTATTGCTGCCGCCTTCCACGGAAGGCAG